GCCCCCCTCAAATGATTCTTTTGGTAATCTTTTTGAAGGCGCTGAGCCGCCCCGCGCGCGCAGGCAGGACATCGAAGTTTGCCGACGCGCGACGTCGAGGTTCAGTCGTGCACAGGTGCAAGCACGAGTGAGTGGAGCTCGCCGCGTTGCAATCGCGAGCGAGCGAAGCTCTGCAACGGACGGGGCGAAGGGAGGTGAGGAGACGGTTAGCAGAAGGAGCAGGAGTGAGTGACGTCCAGCTTTGTCTTTCGAAGCGCTACTTGCAGTGGATTTTGGCAAGATATGGTTGGCCAGCCCCCTGAAAAAGGCACCGTCTATCCAGAACTGGAAGGGGGGGCCAAAATAGGGTGGAGGTGGAGAGGGGTCGGTGAGCGCGGAAGAAAATATGCGTATATCTATGTGCAGATATATCTACCTACCTCCGTCTGTCGCCCCACCCTTCCTCCTACTACGCGTTTGGAGGTGTCAATGTGTTATTCTGCTGAGATTTCTACCAGTTGGAACCTCCTGGCGGAACTCCATTGAATGCGGTTCCGACGTCATGGGCACGGACGGCGAGGCAGTATGCGCCAGGCGCCGAATAAGATCATGGTCAGTGCATCTTTCTGGAGCGAGGGGCCAGGGTCCGTGGCGGGGATGACGGAATTGGTAGAGTGCAAGCGTTTGGAAGAGAAGGACGAGTGGTTGGTTCCTGGCAGTACAAGATGAATTCCGACGGGGAGCCCTGACCGAAAGAACGCACCAGTTTCTGCATGTGCAACCTACAGACGTTCCAGGGTCTTGGTTACATGATCAGCCAATGTGTGGTTCGCTATCCTGCATGGAGAACGTGGCGTGTATCGCAAAGGACAACGGGCTGGAGTGTGGACGGTGTGCAGAGGAAAGAATGCGTCGATGTCTCGTAGCCACCAGTGCCGCAGACGAACGGTTCGCACTTCCACAATTCGTCGAAGCCACTGCCATTTATCCGAATCAGGATGTGAAGTGCAAGGTAGCGCGGCAGCGGGCCGTGGACTGGGCTGCGTGCCGGAAGAAACAGATTTCGTGGGTTTGTGCGCGGGATAAGGCCACGCACGCTACGTACTAGGAAAGGCCGTATACCTCAACAGACAAAGTGCGGTGGCTCGGATACCACGACAAGGCCTGTGCAGACATGCCAGGATGGTTACCGCTTGCCGTGGGCATGCCAGTTGTACTGGCGGACCATTTGGACAGATCAGAGAAGCAATTGCTACGAGGGTGTCGCGCGACGATGCATTCATGGGTGGTAGATGAGGAAGAAGACGTGCAGGACGTGTCGTCGAGAGTACTGCGTAAGATGCCGAGGCAAACCTTTTTGGACTTTCGCACCGAGAAGTGGACGCTGAAAGGGATGCCGGGACCCGGACTGTATCCCATAGCCCCTCGTGCTCGGACGTGGCATCTGGACTCGTGTCGAAAGAAGCCCGTGCTGGGAGTGCGACGGAGACAGTTTACAATTTCGCCTGGGCTGGCGTGCGCGGCGCACGCAGCGCAAGGGCGAACGCTCGACGCGGTAATAGCGGACTTGGAGGAAGGCAGAAACGTGAGCTGGATGTCGAGCTACGTGGCCATAACGCGCGTGAAGACTCGACGGGGTCTGCCCATGTATCGGCCATTTTCGAGACAGCCGTGCACGCAGGGAGAATTGGAGGGCACGAGGTTGTTGTTACAGAAGCTGCGGGGAGAAGCGTTGCCGTGGCCTGACATCGAGGAGAGGTTGCTGCCGCGGAAAACATGCGGGAAGTGTCGGAAGGTGAAGGAGAAGGCTGAATTCAGCACGACTGAGTTCGGCGCGAAGTCGGGGCCGAGCTTCTGCTGCGAGTGCACGAAGATGTTGAAGGGCGCAGGGGGGGAGTGGTGCGCGACTTGTGACCAATGGGCCGAGATGGTCTCCAGAGTGGCGGAGGCCGAACCCGAAAGGATCAGAGCGTTCGTGCGGACAAGCAAATGCGATAGGTGCGCAGGCCCAACATCCCGGATGAAGTCGCGGAAAGAGTCTCACAAGTGGCAGGAGAATGTACGAGACAAATTCAAGATCCGTTGCGCGGAATGCTGTGAATTTCTGAGGACGGAGGCAGAAATTACGGCGAACCAGTACGCGACGAAGGCCGCAGGGGAGAAGCTCTGCAAGAAGTGCGCGGGGAAGAGGAACGGCGGATGGAACAAGTGGAGTCAATCGCAGAGGGAAGCGAAGTGCATGAATGAAACGAACAATGCTCGACGAAGCGCGCGCCAGCAACGGCCGCTGAGGTGTTCGGCGTGCCCAAAGGAGGCAGACGGAAGAGGGCGGGAATTCGCGGACGCGGGGCATCTGACAACATCGCAAATTAGGAGCTATTCTTGTGCGGGCGCGAGCCATAGGCCAGTGAAGTGCCGCGACTGCGAAGCGAATCGCAAGCGATCCCGGGTGTTCAGGTGTTCCGCGTGCCCGACAGAAGCAGATGGGAGAGACCGAGAGTTCGCGGACAGGACGCATCTGACTGATACGCATGTGAAGCATTTCTTCGCGACGGGTGCGGGCCATCGCCCAGTCATGTGCCGCGCGTGCCAGGAAGAACGCAATCAGCCGCGAGTGCTCACGAGCTCCGAGTGCCCGAAAACAGCAGATGGGAAAGAGCGAGAATTCACGGACAGGACGCATCTGACAGATGCGCAAGTGAAGAGCTTCTTCAAGAAGGGTTCCGCCCATCGCTCGGTGGTGCGCCGAGCATGCCAGCTAGAACGCAATCGGCCGCGAGTGCTCACGTGCCTCGCGTGCCCGAAAGAAGCAGATGGGAAAGAGCGAGAATTCACGGACAGGACGCATCTGACAGATGCGCAAGTGAAGAGCTTCTTCAAGAAGGGTTCGGCCCATCGCTCGGTGGTGTGCCGAGCATGCCACGAGCAAAGGCAGGTAGCAAAGAAGTTGGAATGCTCCGCATGCCCCCGGACAAAGGACGGATCCAAACCTACGTTCACGGACGCAGGCCATCTGTCGAAAGACCAGAAGAAGCATTATTTCCTCCGAGGCACTCTGGTGGCGTGCGCCACGTGCTATAAGGCGGAACGGGCCCCTCGGAGAGAGTAACGAGCACGGCGGGAAACAGCGCAATTTGCAGGGGATCTGACCGCGAGTCGCGCGCGCGCCGTCTGCGGGGATCTCTGGCGCCGTCGTCAGCCCCTCTTGTCCCGTCATAACGCCCTCTTGGGCTGTTGAGAAGGCCCTCGTGGAGTATTCTTGGACGTCTTGGTGCGGTCTGTGGGGGCTCGGAACCCTCTTGGAACGCATCTGGGAGGCCCTGGGGGGGCCTCGTGGGGACCTCCTCTGCCGTCGAGGACGCCTCGTGGCCATTCTTAGGGCCACCTGGGAACCATGTGGACCTTGTGGGCCTCTCGGGCCGCTCCTGGAGCGCTCTTGGGGCCGTGTTCGGAGCCCTCTGAGGCCGTCGTGGACGCTTGTGGCCCCCGTCTTGGGGCCCTCCAGGGGTATGTGGGAGACCCTCTTGGACGCTTCTGGGACCGTCTGGGAGTGGGTTTGGGGGACTCTTGGGCCGTCGGATGCATCGGAAAGGCCCAGGGCCGTAGTTGTGGAAAACTTCCGTTTCACTAAGGGAATGGGCCAAATCTTGCGTCTCGGAACCCTCTTGGAACGCATGTCGGAGGCCCTGGGGGGGGGGGGGGGGCTCGTGGGGACCTCTTCTGCCGTCGAGGACGCCTCGTGGCCCGTCTTGGGGCCACCTGGAGCCCATGTGGAGCTTAGGGGCCTCTCGGACCGCTCCTGGAGCGCTCTTGGAGCTGTTTTCGGAGAGCCCTCTTGGGCCGTCTTGGACGCCTGCTAGCCCGTCTGTGGGAGACCCTCCTGGAGGCTTCCGGGACCGTCTGGGAGTGGGTTTGGGGGCCTCCCAGGCCGTCGGATGAATCGGAAAAGCCCAAAGCCGAACTTGTGAACATTGTGCGGTTCACTCAGGGAATGACCAATTTTTCCGTCTCGGAACCCTCTTGGAACGCATCTCCGAGGCGCTCGGGGGAGGCTCGTTGGGACCTCTTCTGCCGTCGAGACCGCCTCGTGGCCCGTCTCGGGGCCACCTGGAGACCATGTGGAGCTGGTGGGCCTCTCGGACCGCTCCTGGAGCGCTCTTGGGGCCGTTTTCGGAGCCCTCTGAGGCCGTCGTGGACGCCTCTCAACCCGTCTTGGGGCCCTCCAGGGGTCTGTGGGGAACCCTCTTGGAAGCTTGCGGGACCGTCAGGGACTGGGTTTGGGGGCCTCGTGGGCCGTCGGATGCATCGGATCGGCCCAAAACCGAATTTGTTAAACATGTGCGTTTCACGAGGGGAATGGGCAACATTTTCTGTCTCGGAGGCCTCTTGGAACGCATCTCGGAGGCCCTCGGGGGGGCTCGTGGGGACCGTCCAGGACGCCTCGTCGCCCGTCTTTGGGCCACCGTGAGCGTCTTGGACCGCTCGTTGTGGATCCAGAACCATGTCGAGGCCATCACAGGAATCCCTGCACGATTTCCACGAGATTTTGCACGATTTTCGGGAGCGGATGGCGCCTCAGCTCCCGTCCGGCCCCCCGGCACCTCCCGCGCAGACCCCCCCCCTCCAAATCGACCGGACTGGGGCCCCGGGGGAGGGGTTTGGGGATGGGGAACATCTCACACGCCGATGAACCCCAAGGGGTCGGCGGTTTTGTTGTGTTTTTTTCGTGTGTGTGTGTGTGTGTGTGTGTGTGTGTGTGTGTGTGTGTGTGTGTGTGTGTGTGCGTGCGTGCGTGCGTGCGTGCGTGCGTGCGTGCGTGCGTGCGTGCGTGCGTGCGTGCGGCGTGCGGCGTTCGGCGTGCGTGTGCGCGTGTGTGCGTGTGTGCGTGTGTGCGTGTATGCGTGTGTGCGTGTGTGCGTGTGTGTGCGTGTGTGCGTGTGTGTGTGTGTGTGTGTGTGTGTGTGTGTGTGTGTGTGTGTGTGTGTGTGCTTTTTCCCACACCCGCGCGGCGCGCCGCGGAGGTGGTGCACGACACGAAGGACCTCATCCGCTCGCACGCAGGCCGCACGGGGGGCCGAGGGCGCAAGTGCGAACGTGGGGGGCGCCGGCAAGGCTCGGTGGGGCGAGAGGGGTGCGGGGGATTGGGAACAAGGGGGATGCGGAAGAGGAGGGAGGGGAGGGAGGGAGGGGAGGGAGGAGGAGGAGGAGGAGGAGGGGGAGGAGGGAGGAGGAGGAGGCCGTGAGGAGGAGAGGGATTGGGACACGGCGGGGGGCTCTGAAATCTGCGTCGTGCAGCTGGTTTCGGCTCCCCCGATACATGGCCGCCTGTGGCGCTGGGAGGCGCCAGGCGCAAGGGAAAATGGCTGCCTGCAGTGGACTCGCTGGACACCCCCTCTGTGATCCCCCGCGCCTTCGCCCGACCCGATAGGCGCCTGTACTCCAATCCCGGCAGGTGCCGACCCCAGGCCCAGGATGCGCGCGGTCGACGCCCTCCGAGACTGGGAGGAGGCCGCGGAGAGGGCAGACGCGGCGGGCAGCCCAGGGTGGATGGGGGAGCCGACGCGGTCACGGTCGTCTCGAGCTTGAGCTCGAGCTCGGCGCGGCGGGCTGCCTCGACATGTGGCGGCCGCGGTGCTTCCGCCGCGGCCAGCCCGGCACGACGGGCGCGGCATGCGCAGTCGCGGCGGTGCGCGCGGCCGCGGCGGCGGGCGCTCTCTGCTGCGTTGCCGCGCGCGCCGGCACGGAGGCGGTCGGGGGGGGGCCCGGAGGAGAGGGTGCGATGCAGCAGCGGCGTCCTCGTCAGTAGGGTCGATGCACGAACTGTCCTTGTCCTTGTCGCTCCGCCAGGCATGTGTCTCCCCACACGCGCACGTTCCAAGCTGCTCGGAAGCGAAGCGAAGTCGGGCGGGATGGGGGCGGTGGTGTTGGCAAGGCTTCGGTTGCGCGCAGGCTGTCCCCCCAGGTAGTTTTGGCTGGCCTCAACAGTCCCCCCGAGTAGTCCGGGCTGGCCTCAACAGGACCCCAGGGTAGTCTGTCACCACCCACCAAACCACCCCAACCCAACCCGAAGGCTCAGATTTACCCTCGATTTCCAGTGGGGGGGGGGTCGGGAAACATGGAAAAAAAACATATGGAACCCTTACCCCCCCCACCCGAAATTCGGGTCTTCGGGTTGGGTTTGGGTGGTCTGGTAGGTAGTCATGTTGAGGCCAGCTGAGACTACCTGGAGGCCGTTTTGAGGATAACCGGGGTTTCCTCGAGGGGCTGTTTGTGCGCAGCCCGAAACCTTACGGGGTGGTGGGACGATGCTCTGGGCGCTGTGCCGTGGGCAAATATTGAGCTGGCCTCCTTATCTTTGGGAGGCAAGCGGATGGAGATCAGGAGGCGGAGCGGGAGGTGGGGGGAGGGGGGACACGCTGAAGGGGGAGGGAGGGATGATGAGCAGGGGTTTGTGTCGGGTATAGCGTGGGCCCTGGGTCAGGGGAGCCGGTAAGTAATTGGGTCCCGAAGCCCTCAGTTCTCGTTCGTGGAATGGGGCGGGGAGCATCCCCTGGTACACATTGCTAGACTCAGGTCCCAGGGCCAGAGTAAGCCCACGATGCGACAACGATGTTGCAACACGACTTCCGCCCCAAGTCCCTTCTCAGAAGTCGCAGCAAACACTCTTTCTCACTGCGCCAAGCGCCCCCTTTTAAAGACGAGCGCTCCATGAGCCCGAAATTCAAGCGGGATCCCCCGCATGGAAAATCCCGAGGATGTCTCAGGCGGCAGCCCCATTTTGAACAGCAGTCGTCCTCCAGCTGTTCAGCTGTCTCGCTGTGTGACAGAGCCCCTGGCGAGGCTGGCTAAGGATAGCTCGCGACAGAGCCCCGTCCCTCCGTCCGTGCGACCGTTGCCCATCTTTTGGGATCACATGATCGGATGAAGTTTGAGGCGAGAGCCCAATTTTGAAAAGGAGCCGCCCTCCATCCGTGTACAGCAGATTCGCGTCGTGTCGACCGGCGGCGACCCCGCCGCCGGCGTTCAACGTTGAACGCCGCTGGCGACCCAGAATCGGCCGATGTTGAACGATTTGACGTTTCGGAAACAGCCGATAGTGAAAGGTTGAATGATCCCCGCAACGCAACGCAACGCAACGTCCGACCGAGCAGCTCGGGGAGCGGCTCGCCCGAAAAAACGAGGCGGACATACAAATGACTACTGCACATGCGCGGCAAATACACCCCTCCCACACGTCACGCATTACGTGTGGCTGTTGGTCATAAGCTGCAAATACTCATCCTCGAGAGCATTCCATGGAAAACTCTTGCCTTGTCGCAATGCTTCCTGCAACAAGAACCCTTTCGACGACAAAAACTTGCGCACAGAATCAGTCCACCTTGTCCTGGGTCTGCCCCGGCGTCTGGGGCTGTCAGGTGTCCATCGCATGACAACTGCCGGCCACGAGCCAGGAACGCACAGACGCGACATCAACCGCCATCGAGCTCTATCTATTGCTTCGGTCCATTCAGAGACAGCGAACATATTCATAGCCCTCTCCATTTTGCGTTTGAAGCGCCTGCCCGAATCCTCCCAACTCTCTTGCTCCAGCTTCGAGAACCCCACAATTCTCTGAAGCATCTTGTTTCGAGCGGCTGCCAACCGCGAGCGATGTCTGCTGGTCATGCCCACAGAAGCCATGCCGTACACAGCTGTAGGAGTGAACACATATTCGAACAACTTCAGCCGAAGGCGCAGCGATATGTTAGTATTGGTAAGCGTCTGCTTGTTCGCGTGGAAGCGACCCCAAGCGCACTCCAATCTGGAGTCGAGATGAGAGTCCGCACGGCCGGTCAGATTGCCGCTGAACTTCCGGCCGAGGTGCTTGTGAAAGTCACGGCACGTCATGACAGGTAACGACATGTCGCCACACGGCACCACCATCGGAACCTCGGAGTGGGATACATTTGGGTCGTTCGTGACAATCCTCGTTTTGGTTGCATTCAAGCTGAGGCCTTGCTTCCCCAGTTCCGCTGACAGCGTGGCGAGCACCCGCATTGCCTCTTCTGATGACCCAGCGTACAACAAAATATCGTCTGCGTACCTGATGTTGCTCAGGAGCTCGCCGGGGCCAACTCGCAAACCGCAGCTGGGACATTTCAGCTTGAAGGTACGCACGGCCTGCTCAAGCCCAGCGTCAAACAGCAAGGAGGACAACACGGCTCCTTGTTTGACGCCGCGAGTAATGTCAAACATTTCGCTGTCCTGCACCTGGCCTGTCTGGTTCACATACACGTCTGCTAACAAACGTAAGTATTCGTGAGGAACGCCATGTTCTCGCAGAGCGGGAAACAGCATCGGATGTTCGATCCGGTCGAAAGCTTTAGTCAGATCCAAATTGACGATCCACAACGGCTTTCCGTACTCCCACGTCCTCGTGCAGATCTCTTCGAAAACCACGAACGCGTCGTCGACGGATCGGTTCGGTCGAAAACCGACTTGGTCTTCATTCATGCTGTTGACGGTCTAAATGCGGTTGCAGACGTGCGAACAGCAATCTGGAGAAAATCTTATATGTGATCTTGAGTATCGCAATCGGTCTCCAGTTCTTCGGATCAGATCGTGTCCCTGATTTTGGCAGCATGAGGAAAACCGTTTCCCGCCAAGACGGTTCAAGTACCCCAGAAGCGAGCAACGAGTTAAGCCCTTCCAGGAGGACGTCGTGCAAGAGAGGCCCACCGCACAGAAACATCTCCAAAGTTACACCGCTCCGGTCGGCGCACTTGCCTTTCTTCATTTTCTTGAAAGCGCGGTGGAGCTCGTCAAGTGAAAACTGAGGGTTGTCGTACGGCCCTTTGTTGCAGAAATCTTGCTCCCACTGCGCGCGGCTGGACGCACAGCCAGTACCGAACACGTCTTCCAAAGATGCCTTGAAAACCCCGCTCGCTACAGGGCAGCTCTTGGTTGGCATCGTTAGGGATCTGTGCACATCCGGCAAGTTCTTCAGGCCTACGAACTTCTGCAGATGCTTTTCTGCACGCTTGTCACAATATTGCCGCATCAATTTTCGATGTTCTCTGCCGATCTGCTTGGAGAGCCGTGCTTTTTCCGATTTGTCCCTGGTCAGTTGTATTTTGCGGCGCAGCTGTCGTAGCACCTCTTCTTCCCATGGCTTCCGTACTTGTTGCTCCCGAGGGCGACTGCACTCTTCAGCCGCCTGTGTCAGGATAAATTCAATGCTGTTTAAATCCGATCCGCCCGTGCGCCCAAGATGCTGTCTGACGCAATCCTCATAAACAGAATCTGTACCATCTTGCCCGGCATTCGGCTTCCAAGTGGTTTTCGGTGACGCTGACGTTGCCGCGTGCGCCCCCGAGGAACCAAGAAACCAACGCCGAAGTCGGCACGACACCAACCTGCCGTAGTTGTTGGAATGTTGTGAAGGGAGTGTGCGCAGAGGCAAGACGAGAGCCCCACCTTGAGATACATTGGAAATTTCGAGCTTTGGAACGAAAGCGGTGGGGAAGTCTCAGGCGAAACGCCCAGCACTCCTTACACGTCTGGGGATGTGACAGGGAGGATGTGCTGATACGGGGGAGAGATGGAGGGGAAGGAGGGGAGAAGGAGATTGGAGGAGGCAGGAAAAGGAGGGAGGAGGAAGGTGATGAAGTAGGAGAAGGCGGATCATGGGGAGGAGGGATGGGGAAGAGGAGGGAGGAAGAGGTGGGAACGAGAGGAGGGGAGGCTCCGTCGGAGCAGCAGGCGAAGCAGCAGCGGGGGAAGCAGGAACGGTGACAGGCAGGGGGCGGAGCGTTCTTCGCCTTCCTCGAGGCCGAGGCTAGCGCGAAGTCCGTGGGCGCCTGCGGTGCCGGCAGCACAGCAGACGCCACCTGCGCCGCGCCTTCCGCTGGCGGGCGCGCCGCCGGGGCCGCCGCGCTGCGCGCCGCGGCGTTCGCTGGGGACGTCGGCACCTTCGAGGCGGCGCGCGGGCGGCGCGGCAGCGGGCGGCTGCTGTCGGCACTGGACGAGGACGGCCTCAATGTCCTACACCCGGAGGAGGGAATGGTACCGATGCCGCTGCC